AGGGAGGGAGGGAGGGAGGGAGGGAGGGAGGGAGGGAGGGAGGGAGCGAGGGAGGGAGGGAGGGAGGGAGGGAGGGAGGGAGGGAGGCTGAGCTTGGACTAGCCACAGGAGTGAGAGACTCTATCAGCCCTGGAGTCTGAAGGGATGCAGTCTGCTATGTGTAGAGTCTGGTGGATTTAGATAAGACCAGGAACCTCCTGGGAATTCAAGGTGCCTTCAGTGATGATGCACATCCTCAAACCCAAGCCCTCCTCAGTGACCTGTCTCTTTCCTCTTTATGTTCAGCCCCCTTGAAGACCCAGACAAAGCACCGCATTCCGTCAACACGTACTTGTGGCAGCATACTGTAGAAATGATGAAATAACACTTGGTATGACTTCCCACTCATTGCAAAATGATAACCTTTTCCGCCGGGTACAGAACTGTTGCCGATGTCAATGTAGGTGTCCTGAAATCAAAAGGCTTTGTTTCTGCACGGGCTTATAAAGCAGTGCGACCTTCCCTGGGACACATGGAAGGAAGTGAATGTGTGTGGCACAAATTGATGAGCATCAGCAAAGTGGGGGGAAGGATCGTTTGCCCGTGGAACATCAGCCTCAATGGGAAGAAGACAAGCAAAATGCCCCCTGGTATTATAAAACCCTACGATGCTCTGACAACTCGCATCCTTTCTGTGATTGTCTCTTCATAACAATGTGCCAACTAGGAGCCAGCGAGGAGAGCAAGAACATCTCTCTCCTTCCTACTCACGTGTACGTGTGTTTCCTAGGATCCTGTACCATTCATTGACTATTTCTTCACTTCAAGAAGCCATAGTTTTGTTCTCAGTACCTAGCTCTTTCCTCAGCCTGACTTTTGACTTCTATTGTGACCCTACTAAAACCGAGGTCCCCTTCCATCATGGCGACCAGAGCCTCTTTCTCACCTATGTTCCTTGCACCATTATTATTCCTGCCCAGACCCCTCCCTCCCTGCCAGTTGTAGGCATTCCCCTCTGCTGAGCTCAACCTCTCCATGGCTGCCGGCTCAAGGGGACATATTTGATGGTGTCCAGTGGTTCTTCCTGTCAATCATCTATGATGAGTGAGATTTATCAGCTCTCTCAAGATTTATCAGCAGGCTTTACATTTCCATAGGACTGGATTTAAACAGTACAGGATTTGAATGAATTTGAACACGGATATCCTGCTTGTTAAATCAGTGAAGGCCCAGTGTTCTGTGACACAGGGATACACGGGTACTGTATGAAGCAAGCAGGTTCACAGTGAAATGAGTACTATGGAGCTGCAGAGGGAACAGAGAGAACTGATGTCTTTTTAAATATGTAACTAGAAGTTATATAAAATTAATTCACCTGGATGACCCAGGGCCACTCTGTATACTTGCCAGTCTGAATGCTGCACCAAAGAAAGTCCCATATCTATTTAACAATGTGAAAGGCTGTTCAGCCTGGAACCAAGAAGCACTTCTGTAGGTCTTTGCCAGAAGGGTCATGCTTTGGAGTGACTCAAAAGTGGAGTTTCAGGCAATCTCGTTCCTACTCTGGTATGGGAAAGCTTTTCTCAGACAAGCAAACAGTAAGCTTGCTTTCTGGAAAACCCTACCCTTGCCAGATTTCCAGCAAGGCACTGTGCAGTGTGGATGCTGGGGGATTTGTGTGGAATCAGAGACCGGGCTCTGGTCCTGCTGCACAGCTTGCTGGTGTGCCTTGGCAAGCTTTTTATTTCCCTCCTGTCCCTCCTGTCAGTTGCTCCGGCTGGCTGTAGGACATTTGTAAACTCCCCTAGGTGATGATAATTTGTGGCTGGATCTGCAAGATGCCACTGAAAACCCTCTGCATGGTGACACACCTGAAGGATTGTTACTATGATGCCTTCCAAGATGCAGATGGTTGCTCCATGCCAGGGCTGTGTTCCACCAACCCAGACCCAGCCGGAGGTCTTTGAACATCTGCTCACCTTCTTCCCAGAACCTGGCTCTTGGGTCCCCACCAACTGCCAGGTCACAGAAGCAGGAACAAGGTCTCCCGGCTCATTAGCCTCGACAATGATGACCTGGCTGCCCATAGGAATCATTTCAGAATTTTTAGCAACAGTGATGGCAGTTTGAAGATTGTCACCTAGATGACAAAGAGACAGACACTGAAAAAAAGATGTCTCTCCATACATTTGTTGCTACCCATTGAATGTATTCAGTGATTTCTGTGTTGTTTTATAACTATTTGTCTTTCCTCCTACCCAAGTGTATGCCTCCAGTGAGCAAACACCAAGCCAACATTTCTCCCACTGTGTTTCCTACCCATGCATAAATGAATGAAGAAATGTATGAGCTCTTCATGACTAATGTTGAGAAAACAGAGAGCGATCAGTGGTAAACAAATAACCCCAGGTTAGTACTAATCACAAAAGCCTTGAGATCAGCACTTAACACAAGACAGAGCACTAACAGGGCCACACTTAGGTTTCCTACCATGCACCATGCTTGCTCATGTGTGTGTGGGGGGAGGGGCATGTGCACATGTGTGTGCTTGTATACAAGATCTCTCACTGAACACATTGCTCCTTGATCTGGCTAGGCTGTCTGGCCAGCAAACCCCGGGATCCTCCAGTCTCCACCTCCCAGTGCAGAGATTGCAGGCGCGAGCCACCTCAGCCAGTCTGCTTTTAACATGGCTGTTACTGACAGTTTTATCTCCCCAGGCTATGTACAACTAGTTCTACTTGCATGATCCTGCATAGGACAAGTGGTACTGGGAAGAAAAGATACAGTTGCTGCCTTAGAAAGCCTGTTCCTGCTTGGGGATGCTGTAAGGTGACAGGGCCACACTGCGCATTTGCTGTCTGCTTCAGTCACAGGGCCTCACTCATTTCAGGCTTCTTTCCTTTTTGCTAACTGCTGGGCTCTGGAAGCACACATACCTGTCACCATCACCGTCCTGATGCAGGCCTCGCTCAGCTCCTTCAGTACTGGCCTTGTTTCTTTTTTCAAGCGATTCTCCATTATGAGAAGTCCGAGAAATGCCAACTCGGACTCCACTTTCTCCCTTTGGGGATGGGAGAAAATTGGCATTTTAAGACGTAGCACTGTGTCGTGCCTGTGACTGATTGATTTCTTATCTTTGGAACTTCGGTCTATGTTTTATTAATGTAATAGTGCACGCCTTAAAAAAGAAAGGAACTCAGGAGTTTATAATGAAAACCAGTTGTCATGTGTCCATACCATCCTTGGTCTGTTTCCCTAGAACAGTCACTTCCCATTATCAACTACATTTCAAAAACACTGTTTTTGTCTTCCCAATCTTATTTTTAAGTTGTTAACTATGTATTTTTTTAATCTCCAAAGTCTTTCATTATTTTTCCCTTGACCTTATATTTTAAAAAAGCAAATCTGCTTGACAATCACTGGGCACATTCTACGTGATGCCATCATTACCACAATGTCTTTGTTCAGGCGCTATTATTAAATACTAAACAAACTGCATTTAATTTGTACATATAAGATGAATTCACATTTTCTGGTCAACTAGAACTGAAGACTCACTGGTTCATTCTGCTTACTGTGTATGTATGTACATGACTGTGTGGAAGGTACATGTGTTCACATGTGTGGAGGTGACTGTGTGTGCAAGCGCACATTCATGTGTAGGCTCTGTCCACCTTTTATTTTCTTTGAAGATCCCTCACTGGAACTTGGGGCTTGTCCATAAGTCTAGGCCAGTAATACTCAGAGATCTGTCTGGCTTTGCTCTTCAGTGTTGGGATTACAAATCAATGACTTTTTTGTGGGTGCTAAGGATTGATCTCAGGCCCTCATGCTTGTGTGGTAAGCATTTTATCTGTTGAGCTGTCTTTCTAGCCTCTTTGCTTGTTTTTTAATATCCATAAAGTGTTTCTACAGCTTTATTGAAGTAAAATTGTTAGACAAAACCTGGACATATTTAAAGTGCATGGTTTTATAGGTTCAAACTCAACTGTATAACCATCACCATCATCAAAAGAGGAAACATTCCAATCACCCAGAAGGTTCCCCTGTTCCCATTTTGGTTTTTTTTTCTTTGTAATAAGAACATCTAAGATCCACTCTTCTAACACAATGGTAACCATGTAACACACCACAGTTAGCGAGAGGCAGTGTGCAACAGAGCAAACCTCCAGAACTTATCCACCTTGCGGAACTAAAACACTCACCCCTTGAACCTTCCTCTCCTTCAAGCCTAGGATAACTGCCACTCAATCTAGGAGTCTATTTCAAATACTTGGTATAAGGTGGTATTTATCTTCTTCTTCCTCTGATGGGTTTATTTTCATTAGCATCACATCTTCCACATTAAGACACATTGCCTCAGATGGCAGGATTCCAACACCCACTCCCTTTTCCAAATCTTGCCTCAAATTTATTTATAAAATCAGCATTGACAATCTACAAATATGTGTGTTTCCTAAGTCCATGTAGTTCACATTGACAGATAGAAGACTTTTCTATCAGAACCTTCATAGAGGCCAGGGAACCATTAGGAGCCCAAGGTGTAGTTTTGGCCTCTCGTTTAGTTCCTTGGGCTTGGTTTGACAGAGCCTGTGACCCTTGGCCACGTAGCCTGGAATCCACTTCCCAAGCTTGGAGTGAGCAGAAACAGCAAGACTGGTGAGTTTGTGGTTTGGATCCTTTGGCATCTTGGGTTTAACCATCTTAGGCTTCACAAGGGACTTGATGGACTCTGCATGTGCACTCATTGCCTTTACATTGCTTGTCTGCATCTTCTTCAGGCCTTTCTTGTTGTGCTTGTTGGCAATACACATGTTGCCAAGGAACTTGGAGTTGACCCCATTATGCCATTAATATCTTTGTGACTGGTATCTTTCTTGATGCTATTTCTGTTTTTTTTGGCATAGGTTGTATGGTGTGGTTCTTGGACTTGGCCATGTATGCACAGTAACCTGTGGCTTCCTGGATTCCCTTGTCTTTAAAGGCTAAATGGTATCCCATTGCTTATATAAACTATATTTTCTTTATTAATTAATTGACAGATTGTTAGGTTGTTTCCAAATTGTGATTTTTATTAACAATGTTACAAAACATGTGGCATTTGTGGTGCTCTCTTGAGATATTGCCTTCAATTCCTTTATGTACAAAAATAGAATTGGGAGGTTGCTGGATCCTAAGTATGTTGTCTTTGTAACTCATTTCAGGACCTTCACTCTGTTTATAGCAGTCAGATAATTTCCAACTCTGATTAATAGTGGGATAGGTTCCAATGTCTCTATACGCTCACTTAGCCAGCCCTCCTCCTCCTCCTCTCCCTACTCCTTCCTCCTTCTTCTCCTCCTCCTCTTCTTGCTCCTTCTTTAGATTCACTAATGTGTGAGTGTTTTACCTGCATGTATATATGTGCATAACATGTGTGCATGGTTCCAGGTTAGCCAGAGATGGTGAGATGGGGTCAGATCACCCTGGAACTGGAGTTATAGATGGCTGTGAGCTTATATGTAAGTACTAGGAACTGATTCAGCAAGGGCAGCCAGAGCTCTTAGCCATCGAGCCATCTCTTCAGTCTCCAATCAGCCATCTTACTAGGCATGCAATGATCTCATTGTGGTTTTTATTTTCACCTCATTTCACCAGTTGTTTGGTGAATTTCAATGCCCTTTTATGCACTTGATGCTACATGTGCATCAAGTGTCTTAGACAAGTATCTACTTGGTCCTTTTGCCATTTAAAAATCAGATTTACTGTTTTTTATTATGAAATTGTGCTCCTTGTGAATTTAAATATTAATTTCTTATTAAAGTAGATTGCTATGGACAAGCATGATTGAGCCCTGTGCCCTTTGCTTACTGGTGGGCTGCCATATGAACCTCTCTGCCTCCGACTTCAGCGTAGAAGGTGGAAGTATTCTCTCTTCTTTACCTGCCATCAAGTGTCTAAAATCCCTCTGGGAAGCAGAATAAACCCTTCTCCCCCTGCACTGTTTCTACAGGTATGGGGTCAGAGCAATGCAATGGTAATCAGTACAGTGTGTATATAAAGGTCAACTGGAAATGGATCAGAGATGTCAACATAAGACTGAAAACAAAAACTCCAAGATGAAATTACAAAGGGACATTTTCTTGACATCGATCTAGGCAGCAAGTTCATGGATGTAACTCTGAGAGATGGGCACAATTGCAAAGAATAAAAGAATGCTTTTGTTTCTACTACAGCTCGCTCCCTTAGTCAGGCGTCCAGGCATGTGATCTCTTGCTGACACTACACCATCAGTGATGGTACTCACTGCCCCATCCTTCTGTGCTCAGTCTCTGATGAGGTCTTCCTGCCTCTTCTCTACTCACATCTGTGTTTGAATGCTTCTCCTCAGAGGACTTCTTTGGCAATGTGTAGTTTGAAAACCTCTTCCCATCTAATGCATCCCCTCCTCTAAGATATCTAAGAATCATCAATGATACAATATATTATAGACTTATTTTAGTTTCTATTTTCTCCAATTAAGATACAAAATTCTTGGGACCAGAGAATTAATTTTATTCATTTCTATAGCTCCTGAACATCTATACTTGATCTTAGTCAAAAGTCCAAGAAGCGATGCTCCTGACCATCTAACACAGATTGAAAATTAGTAGACATTTGCTACACTAAAGATGGATTAGGGCTTAAGGAAGTCTTTCTTCTCATCATTTGACATTGGGCAACTTTCTAAGATACTTCAAGAAACTCTTAGTTTCCTCCAGTGACTCCAGTTTTCAAGAAATTTTTATTTTCCTGACTGAAAAAAAAATTGTTAAATTTTATCCTGATAAAAATCAAAACAATATTATCTTACTCTGTTCAAGAATAACAGCTACACAATAAGAAGCATTTTGGATTCCTGATATCTCTTGGGAGAAACTTGTAATGAATGGGAAGACAGCAGAGTTTGTAGGTTTTTGTACTTCTATTAATGTTTATTTCCCTACTGGCTCTTCGATGGGAATACAACTGTGCTTGTATGTGGCAGCTGGGGATCTCCACATTCTATCACTAGCTTTGTGAATTTCTGGGTCACTCATGACCTTAGCACTCTTATTCAAATTTGTGCCTGAAAACTATATAACATCCTATGTGTAATGGATCTCCTGCTTGCTCAAGAATAGCCAATACCTGGAGTGTTAAATCTGAGGATGTTATTATATGTTTGAATCAACTCTATGATTCTATTTCAAAGACAAAAATGACATGTCAGAAAAGCTTCTTGGAGTTGACCCACTCCTACGATTTATAGATGGGGAAACAGGTACCATGTAAGGTACCAATTATCTTTGTGAGCCATAGGCTGCAGAGAGCAATATTGAACTAAATACATTGGTACTCAAATACAACTGGTAAGAGCCAGTTATATAACTAAACATCTCTCAATTTCCTGAACAGAATGCTAATGGCTCAGGCTCTAAGATCAACAATTGATAAATGGGACCTCATGAAACTGAAAAACTCTGTAAGGCAAAGGACACTGTCAACAGGAAAAAACAGCAGCCTACAGATTGGAAAAAGGTATGCACTAACCCTACATCTGAGAAAGGCCAATATTCAAAATATATAAAGAACTCAAGAAGTTAGACTCTATCAACCCAAATAACCCAATTAAAAAACTGGATGCAGAACTAAACAGAGAATTCTCAACAAAGGAATCTCAAATGTCCAAGAAGCACTTAAAGAAACATTCAACATCCTTATTCAGCAGGGAAATACAACACTAAGATTCCACCTTATACCAATCAGAATGTCTAAGATCAAAAACTCAAGTGACAGCACATGCTGGCAAGGATATGGAGACAGGGTAATACTCCTCCATTGCTGGTGAGATTGCAAACTGGTACAACCACTCTGGAAATCCATCTGGCAGTTCCTTAGAAAGTTGAAAATAGTTCTACTTGGAGACCCAGCTATACCATTCCTGGGTATATACCCAAAAGATGTTCCACCATACAAGGACACATGATCCATTATGTTCAGAGCAGCTCTTTATTGATAAAAAACCAGAAACTGGAAGCAACCCAGATGTCCCTCAACCAAAAAATGAATACAGAAAATCTGGTTCATTTACACAATGGAATACTATTCCACTGTTAATTCAAAACAAAGATATCATGGATGAACTTTGCAGGCAAATGAATGAAAGTAGAAAATATCATCCTGAGTGAGATAACTCAGACCCAAGAGGATATGCATGGTATGTATTCACTGATAAGTGGATATTAGCTAAAAAGTAAAAGATACCCATGACCCAAAAAAGTTAAACAAGAAAGAAGGCCCATGTGAGGAAACTTGAATCTCACTTAGAAGAGGGAATAAAATAGTATTAAGAGACAGAAGGAGGGAACTGGGTAGGAAAGGAGATGGGTAGAGGAATAGGGCACAAGTCAAGATCAGGTGTAGAAAAAACAGGAGAGAGGGCCAGAGGGACAGGAGAATGAATGGAAGTCTGTAGCTGCTGGAGGTGGGAGAAGGAGTCAACGTGGGTAACCTTAGCTCAAGTATTTAAGAATGGGGACATGAAAACTGAAGAGGTCACCTCCTATAGCTAGGCAGGACTCCCAGTGGAGTGGCAGGGACATCAACCTGCCCACAAAACTTTAGACCCAAATTTTGGTCTGTCTAAAAGAAATCCAGGGACAAAAATTAAGCAGAGACTGAAGGAATGGCCAACCAATAACTGGCCCAACTTGAGTCCCATCCCATGAGCAAGCACTAGCCCCTTTCACTACTAATGATACTCCATTGTGCTTGCAGACAGGAGCCTAGCATAACTGTCCTCTGAGAGGCTATACCTAGCAGCTGACTAAAACAGATGTAGATAGCCACAGTGAAACATTGGATGGAGGTCAGGAACTCTTACGGAAGAGTTGGGGGAAGAATTGAAGGCCCTGAAGAGGATAGGAACTCCACAGGAAGACCAACAGAGTCAACTAACCTGGATCCCTGGAAGCTCTCAGAGACTGAGCTACCAACCAAAGAGCATACATGGGCTGGAATGAGTCTCCCAGCATATAGGTAGCTCAGTCTCCATGTGGGCCCTCCCACAACTGGAGCGGGGACTCTCCCTAAAGCTGTAGCCTGAATTTCCCAACAGGGCTGCCTTTTCTGCCCTCAATGAGAGAGAATGCACCTAATTCTGCAGAGACTTGATGTGCCAGGCTGGGGAGATATCTGGATACCCTCTCAAAGGAGAAGGGGGAGAGGAAATGGGGGGTGGGACTCTGTGAGGGGGGACCTAGAGGGGGGCAGCATTTGGGATGTAATCAAATAAATAAATAAATAAATAAATAAATAAACAAACAAACAAACCCTGAAAGAAAAATGAAAGAAAAAAATTAAAATCTCTGAATTAGAAATATAAATTTAATATATCAAATATAAGGACTATATAGTTTACCACTAAATTAGTCTACTTGTTCTTTTAATGTAGATCACTTAAAAGAAAATCCTAAAAGCTGGAAGAAAGCAGTTAATAGATTATTCTCTAAGGAGGGACATTCATCCCTTAATGTAATTAAAAATATTGAGTTTTGCTTGCGATATGGAATTCAATTTGCACTCACTAGCACTCAGATTTGAGGGAAATAAAATACCCAGACCCGAGAAATTCCAGAAATAAAATGGGATTCTGGAAACCTTCTAAATATGGGATCTCCAAGCAAGTCTGCCACGTGATGCTCAGAGGTGGGATGAAAATTCATAATTAGGAGGGGACAAAACCCAAGATTAAAATGAACACTCTGTCAAACAGGGCAGAGGGTAGATGTGGGGTCTGGGAAATCTCAGCTGCTGTATTTGCTTTGTCACAAAACCACCATGTGACCTGAGCAAGTCCTGCCCACAGCTGCCCATCTCCAAACCAGAGGGCAGGATGAGATCAGTTCTCTGAGTCCAAGAATTCCCTGGTGACGTGAGCTGTCCGTCAGTCCATCTCCAGCAGTTCCTCCCTTCATGTACAAAGACCCTCCCTTAGTGCTGATTTCTAATTCCTTACCTTGCTAGACGGTCCACATCTGAAAGGCTCTCCATCTTCAGGGTTTTGTGGGCAAGAGCAATGACACGGAAGCCTTGCACCGTGTAATTCCTCAGCTCCTGTGGGAAGTTCTTAGGCACTGTGAGAAGAGATGGGGGAGGTAAGTGTAAGTTCACTCTGAAGTCTACCCTGCACCTAACCAACTGTAGGATTTCTTCACTGTGCTTCAACATTCACTTCATAAAAACGCTTTACCAGAAAACATACAGCTTCAGACACAGGTCACAAACAGCTTCATGTTATTCTGATGAGGAGAGAAAGATGCTAAGACTGTGCTATTTAGCTGTGCTACACCCCAATTCTGTGGCCTAAACTAGGTTAAAACCTAATCTCTAATGTGGCTGTATTTTGAATATAGGCCTTTGGGAAGTAATTAACTCATGAAGGTGAGACTCCCATGAATAGGATTAAGACAAAGGAAGATATAAGAGATGGCCTCTCTTCACAAGGATACATCAGCAAAGCAGGCAGCTACAAGCCAGCAAGCTAGTCCCCACCAGGAGCCAGATTTCCAAGACTATGAGAGATGGAGTCCTGTCATTTAAGCCACCTAGCCGTTTTGATACAGCAGCTCCCTTAAGATGACTCTGACCACTGTCTAATGTACTGATAGGGTTCTCCAAGGACAGACCTCAGGACTGTTTTCTCGATTGAAATCGGACAAATAGCCAAGCTTCCAGATTAGGGTTGATAATGTTCAGGCTCCATGTGATGCACTGCTTGCTTCTGTCAATAAAGTTTTAAGCCACAACCACTCACTTGTTTATTATCCACGATTGCTTACAACCACAGTGGTAGAGTCGGTTAGCTGATGCAGATACTGTGTGGCCAGAGAGGCCTGAAACATGCACCGAGTGACTCTTTGCAGAAACATTTGCCCATTCTCTGTGTGTTTGCAAGTACGCATGCACATGTGTGTGCACATGTGTGTTTACAGGTATCTGTGTACATCTATGTGTACAGGCATGTGTGTACCACTGTATATGTATGGATGTCCTCCCTTTCCTCATTGCTTTGAGACAGCATCTCTCCTTTGCTTTACTACTGCATAGCCCAGTCTGGCCATCCTGAAAGCTGCTGAGATTCACCTGTCCCTGCCTCCTGTCTCCTGGTAAGTGTTCACCGAAGTTACAGAGGCATAGATAACACACCTAGCGTCTAAAAGTTAGTTCTGGAGATCCAAACTTGGGTTGTCAGGCTGATGCAGCCAGTGTTTTACCCACTGAGCCCCAGCCCCAGCTCACATCCCTGCTTTACAACATTGGTGACACAACGCAGTGCTTACATGTTTTGGCGTGACTATGTTTTTGTATTTACAAATTCTTTTGGGGTTCTAATGTGCCTATGTGAGAGTATCAGATGAGACCTGAAGAACAGCACAGTAGTGGTTGTGGTGGTGGAGGTGGTGAAGCAACTAAGTTCTATTCCCCACTCCATTATCAACTCATGTTCCGACTTCAACCTGTTAAGTCTCTCTTCTGCACCTCGGTTTCTGTCCACAGTCTGAGTGTTGGCTGACCCTTGCTTTCCCGTTTATCTCAGACTTAGCGTATTTCTAAAATATTCCCAGAGGTATGGATCAAATCTCAAGGAGGCTTCTAGCCTACATTTATCTATAGGAGAAAGAAGTGAAACATTAAAGGTCAAGAAAACAGGTTTCGATGTACTGTTGTGAATGGCTGAGTAGAGACTGGACCCTTCCTGACACAGCAGGACAACAGGAGTATTCTCACTAAGGTCTGCATGTTTGTAAGCGAAAGAGAACAGAGACAAACCTGATCTATAACTTGTTAGGGACTCAGAGGATTTATGAGGAAGATCAAAATCTGAAAGGGAGGTCTGCTTTTTCCATTCTGGGGAACGGAATATATGCTAGGCAAGTCCTTCATATGTAAGAAGGGCCTATAGAAAGGACACTTCTAAGATTAAACTAAACAGGCTCCAAATGTAGACATTAGAATAAGCATTCATGAGAGCTAGAATTCTACGCACAGTTGGAGGCCATCTGCAATCATAACAAGTAAATGAAAACCAGGAGAAAAATGCCAGTTTCATCCAAATGAATTTGAGTGCACCAATTTTCTTATAAACTTGGCCATCGCTTAGACTGTGCATATGTTTAGGAGAATATTAAATAACACAGCTCATCCCAGAGTCTGGACCAGAAAGACAAAAATGACTGGGAAAATCATCCTAATATCATTGAATTTGGTCTAATCGCTTTTTTTCTGAACATATTTCTCTTTAAAAAATATTCCTAACCAAAATCTGACTATGCCATGAGATGGAGTCTATACCCAATGTTGCTTGAGACTAGATAGGCAATGGACCTAGCAGTAAAATGACTCCTAGTGATATTCTGCTATTCCCATAGATCATTGCTTTGCTCAGCCATCACCAGAGAAGCTTCCTACTGCAGCCAATGGAAACAAAGGTGGAGACACACAGCCAAGCACTATGCAGAGAGTGAGAGAAGTCAGAACAATAAGCCCTAACTGGGCTATCTCCATCAAATCCATCCCTTAGGACTCAGACTGTTCTGCAGAAAACTAGGTGAAAGAGTGCAAGAGCTAGAGGGGATAGGGGACATCAAAGAAACAAAGCCTTTTAAACAAAGCTAGACTAACACACATATGAATGCGCAGAGTCTGAGGCAGCGTGCATAGGCCTTGCACAGGTCTGCACCAGATGGGATCCTAGAGCTGGGAGAAGAAGTGGACACATGGCCCCATCCCCAGCTTAGAAACTATGTCCAATTGATAACCACTTGCAAATTAAAATTTAGTTTTCTCCAAAGGAGTTTCAGTAGGCAAAGAAACTACTCGTAAGGGTAGGCCAAATGCCATTTTCTGGAAAACAGAAAATGAATTCAACAGCGTCTCTGGAAGTTCTCTCTCATAATGTGTCAAAGTGTTAAAAAAAAAAAAAAACCTTACAAGTCTTTTATAACTTTATTTATTGTGGCTTCCGATTTTATGTTTTTATGAGATTCCTGTGTATGCGTCTACACATGTTTCTCATGCTTTTTCTTTGGCCCCTTTTCTTGTTTGTTTGTTTTCTCCTGTTCTGATATGTTTGGTTTTCTCTTATTTCTGGGATGTCTGATTCTAACAAGAGACAGAAAGCGTGTGGATCCAAACAGGAGTGAGGCGGTGAGGAACCGGAAGTAGTTCAGAGAGGGGAAACCATAATTAGAGATGGTGCTTTACAATAATCAATTCTCAATAAAAGAAAGACATTAATTTAAAAATTTCCCCTGGGATGGGGAGATCTCAGCTCAGCAGATACAAGATTCCAAGCTTGAAGACCTGAGTATCAAGTCTGGGACCTACAGGGTGGAAGGAGAGATAGGACTCCCACAGGTTTTCTATGGCCTCTACACGAATAGGCACACACACACACACACACACACACACACACACACGCACACACAAACTTTCCTTTCCATTGCTTTGTCTCAGCTCCTAATAGTAGAGCCATCCTTGGCTCAAACTGACAGAAACCCTGTTGTACCTCACCTCAGTGCTGGGGGTGGGGGGGCAGTAGTCCATGTACCCCTGAGTTTTTGCTCTACATATTCTGCCTTGATACCCCACTGTGGCTGTATCTCCTGTCTGTAGGACATCTAGATCTCTTGTGCCACTGTCGCTCACACAAATTGACCTGTTCTCTTTACTAGCTGTGGCAGTTTATGTCCTCCTGTGCTTTGTTATGGTGATGCACAAGTTTGCTTTCTATGTTTGGCCTTTAGAAGGGTTTCACCTCTTGAAAGAGGAAAAAAACAAACAACAACAAAACGTCAGTACCCGTTTCAGAGCAGCAGAACCTGGCCACCATTTCTGGGGCACCCTTCATGTAGATGTGGAGGTGAAGGTCACCAGCCAGCTGAGCAATCACAGACATCCTTTGCAGGCCTGAGGAAAACGGGAACTGGCGCAAGATGGTGATGCTGTCCACAGGACTCTGCAAGGACATCAAAGGCAAGAGACTTGAAAAGCCTCCAAGCGCTACTCGACAGAAGCATGCCCACTAAACAAAAGGGTCCATACCCTCCAAAGTGCCCAGCCACATCAAGGCAAATTATATTTGCCACAACGCTTACTTTTTTCTGGCCTATTCAAGGGTGATCCCCTTGGTACATTCTCTGGTCTCAAAAGCCCTTACCTGTGGCTGCCTGGAGAAGTCCTAATCTCCTTTCAGACCATCCTGTGAGACACGATGCTTCTTTTTCCCAGAAACACTACTCATTCCCAGCTCTGGTCTCCCACAGCTCGTTTGTCAGCCTTTATTACAGCACTTGGCAGGGCGTGCTGCACTGACCCGTGTTTGTATTGATTCCTGACCACTGTGTGCTCTTCCCATGCAGAACCCAGCAGGCTTATTGTGAAGTCTAGCCCAGTCCTCTGCCGCTCACGGACACTCACCGAGTTATTTGCTGAAAACACTAATGAGCGTAGTCAGGGCTGAAGGCATGGCCGGACCAGCTATGGAATTTATTAGGATAAAGCTGAACAGGAGAAATGTGCGACGTGTGCAAAACCAGAACTGTTTCTCCAGTGTTTGGGGGAAAGAAATACATAACCTCTGGAAGAAAACCATACCTGGCTGGCTTTCGGTCCTGGTTTGATTACTGTGCTTGAACCTGGCCTGCCGAATTTGCAGGAGTCCACTTGACCATCTTCCATATTCTGTTACAAAATGAAACATTTATAAGATTCCTTGGAGACAAATAAAAAGAAATATTTTTCTTTGCTCACTGTGCTAATACTTTCAAAAGCCTTTTCATGTGGCTTCCCAGATATTTACTTACATGATATCATTTTCAAATTTGTGTTGTTTTTATTGACAATAAGGACTTTGTCAGAAAAAATGTCAAAAATCCAGAAATACTATCAATACATTAAAGCAGGAATGGGATGGGAACGTGCTGGACATAGGGCAACTGTTCTTCCTACTGGCTATGTCTCGTGGCTGGGGGAGGTCTGGGCTCTAGTGTTGAGTACAACAGCTCTCAGTTGTGCTAACAGCTGTGTCCTGAGATAAACACAAAAGCACATTTTTATGTTACACCTGTGTTACTTGTCTAATTTAGTTAGCTAGAGAGCTAGGAAGTTGACTACTACCAAATTAGAAAGCACTTTTGAAAATGGATATTTATTGGGTAAAACATCCAAATATAGACATCACTATTGTTGAGAAACCAATATTAACCAATATTGGAAAGGAATTTTGTCTTAATAATGTACCAGGGAATTGTCCCTGCCCTTTTGTGTTTAGTAGGATCCCAGCTAACAAAGGATACTTAACTCAAGGCTAAATCAGACCCAGACTAAACCTTAGTGAAAATTGCTTTATTTAGAGGTAGATACGACCATCTTGACAGTTCTTAGAGGTGGTACTAAAGATTTGTGTTCACAAACAAGATCTCAATTTGTACGTCTTCTGTGTGGGTAGGAGGCATTACTAGAATCAGAATCCGAGTCACACGTAGAAACAACAGCTGCGGGTCATCTCGGTACCAGTTCTGCTGGCGTTTGGAAGAACTCTGATCATTAGATACTTCATTAATTTTCCTTCATTAGGATCCATGAAACTGGACATTATTTTGTCTTTATGCCTTCTTCGGAGCCAATATTTTCATCTCAAATTACTGATTTTAGGAATTTCTCTTTATGCCAGGGTTTCTCCATTTTAAGCTCTAGACTTCTAAAAAGCCAAAAGTTCCCATTATTCATCTTCGCATTAGCTCCATGTGAGATGCGTGTGATGCTCCAGCCGCCACTTGTCCCCATTAATTTACAGTTATAATTAAGCATTTCCCTGTGGTGTGTGTGTGTGTGTACACTCTCATGTGTACCCAAGTTTGCAGGCAGGCACATGCAGCATCTACAGTGTGTTTTAGACAGACAGGGTCTCCTGCTGGAACCCAGGGCTCTGATTCAGTGGACTATTTGGCCAACAAGCCCCAAAGTTCCATTTGTCTCTGTCTTCCCAGCACTAGGGTTACAAGTACATGATACTATACCCATCTTTTTACCTGGATTCTGGGAATTAAATTCAGATCCTTTGCCTGTCTGAGGAATCGTTCCCAAACTGGACTACCTTGTCTAGCCTCAGTGGGAGAGAATGCACCTAACCCTGCAGAGACTTGATATGCCCGGGTGGGGAGCCACCACCCTATCAGAAGAGAAGTGGAAGAGGAATGGGAGGAGGGACTCTGTGAGGGGGAAGCTGGGAGTCAAGGCAGCTATCAGGATGTAAAATGAATAAATAAATTAATTAATAGAGAGAAAAAAATCACATCCTTGTGTTTGCAAGGCAAGCACTTTTCTAACTGAGATTTCTCCCCAGCCCCTCTCTGCCTTTTCACACATTACTAGAAGTGTCTTTCTAGCCCTTTTTTTGGAGGTCAACAGAATGTTGCTAGCCAATAGGCTTATTAATGAAAATTCACTATTTGTCTGGCACTTTATAGAGCCCAAAGTCCTTACAATCTCAGTGCTCACCCAAGTCTGCAAAAGAAGCATAATTATCTCAAATGCACAGATGGGATAAGAGCCTTACAGCCTTGGTTCCAGAGTCACACTGCCAGGGACAGGTGGGAAGCGGTTTTCACTGTCACAGCATATCCAGGACAGGTTTATGATTTCTGCCCCTCAACTATCATTCACACTTAGCCCAGAAAATAAAACTCCTTTGAACAAGGGTCGTGTATGTTGATGTAAGAACCTGTACTCTGTGACATGGTAGCTACCCACTGTGGCTTCTTAAATTTAAATCAACTAAGAACTTCTGAAATTAATAACTCAGTCTCTTACTTTCATTTTCACGATGAAAGTGTTTGTTAGCCATATTTGGGAGTCTGATTTAGGCTAGTGTGTTTCTTCAAGGATGTCTTGGATCATTGGTATCATGTTATGGTCTATCTAGAAGGCTTTAGGGTCAAATACATTAGGTAAATACTGCATGTCATATCCCCTCTTGAATACTCAAAATGTACCATAGTATATTAAAGAAGATCCCTATTCAAACACTAAGTTTAATTTTAAATTTAAAGAGCACTTCCCCAAATTATGAATTTATGGATTCTTGTACCATGTTGTACCCTTTAACAGAATTCTTTGAAACAGAGATAGACAGGTCTTGTTAGCATAAAACCAGAATTCATCCAAAGAGAGCCACATGCCACCCTTTAATACAGATCCTCATGATGTAGTGACACCCCCAATCACAAAATCAGAGAGATCAGACTATTCAGCACTATTACAACTTCAAACCTCAAAGCCCACTCCCTCTACTATCATTCAATTGTTCCTACAAGTTCCATGAACAAGAGAACACAGTTGACTTGCACATAAACTTGCACAGACTGCAGACACTGGCAGAAAAGCATCCTGACCTCTGGAAACCCAAGGATGTCCAACTGCAAAAGAAAGTACAAGCATGAGTGTGCATCTGTTTCAAACATTGAAATGTACAGAGGAAAGTGTGACCAACCAACGTAGTAGAGAGAAAAGGATGCTCACGCTGGGGGCCAGAGAGACTCATTCTGAGCAGCAGGGAACTGCTCTCCAGTCATTCCCACACAGAAACTCAGTGGAGCAGGGAAGATTCACAGAAAGCGAACTGCCAAGAGCCATTCTGTTCCACCTTATCAGAGCACTAGACAGATAACAACTGCTTTCCCACCAGCAGAGCAAGCTTCAAATGTAAGCTAGGGGTTGGGGAGTCTACATTTATCCAGCAATAGAAAATATTTGACTGCTATTTTCCTATTTTTATTTTTTGCTTTGATATTTCTTACTTCAATTTTGATGTCACATGATTGATTGGGCTTTATGATTATTCTTTGTCTTCACCTTTTCTCTCCCATTCTCTCATATTTCTCAAAGCCTAACCCTCTGCTTTGCCTCCTGCTTCTACTTCACATACTTATTTTCATTTCTTAATTATCAATATCTCTACTCTTTTAATCTGTAAACACCTACCTTGTGCTCTCAAGAGCTCTTTTATTTCTAACTTGATCGTGGGTATAAAGGATGTACCTAATTGTTTTTTCCTCTATTATCTTATTGTTGACAAATTGTTTCCTGTCCTTTGTTTCTTTTGTATAAATAGTAGAGATCATAAGCTCAAGAGAAAACTATTCACGAAGAAGACCCACAGGAAACAAAATGCACAAAAGATGGGAGAAGCCTGAAAGATGCATCTACCCAAAAAGGCATGCAGATCACAGGCAAAAACAAAGCAACAACACCTCCAAAGGCATACTGTTCCTAAATACTAAAAATGAAACAAAACCAACAAGAAACAAAAACAACTAACAAGTCACTGAAACGCCAAACAAATGATTCAAAATCCCACTTTTAAAAATGTCCAGTGATTTCATGAAGAATTCAACAAGCTGATGAATGAAGCAAGAAATTAATTTAGAGGCTGGGGAGATATGTCTCAGCAGCTAAAATCCTTGTTGCTAAGACTTGGATCCAGAATCCACATAAAGCCAGACACAGTACCACCTGCCTGTAAACCCAGCATGACTACAGTGAGATGGGAAGCAGGACAATCTCCAGAAGCAGGGAGGCCAGATAGCCTGGCACCCACAGCAGCAAACAGGAGGGTTAGGTGGAAGATGAGGACTATACCTAAGGTTGTTCTCTGCCTGTACACATACATGTACACGTACACACACACACACATACACATGCAGAGAGAGGAGAGGGGGAATTCAGCATGGAAATAGAGTTTGAAGAAGTCAAAATGCATAAATGTTGGAAAAAAAAGACTAAGACTTGAACTAGTCAAAACATACACACACACACACACAATGGAAAGCACCACCAGTAAAAGACAGGCCAAGAAGCTGTCACATTCAGATAGTAATGTGATCATAACAAACAAATATGATCACCACCTGAAGGAGATCTGAGACATGATCAGACGAGAAAAATTAAGAATTCTCATCAATATTTTTTCCACAGGGATAAAAGGAGGAACTTCTTCACAAAAAATTAAAGGCACAGAAGAACTATTCAATAAAATTCTTAGCAAATTCCCAAAATATAAGGATATGTATATGTGTATATCTATGGCATTTAGAACCCTACATGGACCTAACAGAGAAAAAAACAATGTCAAGATAGATTGACATTAAAATGTTAACACAACAGAACAATAGTAAGTTACTTGCAACAACAAAATAATCAGAATAGCATCAAGCTTCTCAGCCAAAAGCCCTAAAGCCAGGAAAGCAGGGAAGGAAGAATTTCAAGTCCCAAAGTAAAGAACTGCCAACCAAAATGATTATATCCAGTAAAATTATGTTTTAACTTAAAGGAAAAATAAGGACATCCCAAGATAAGTAAAAACTAAAGCATTTCATAGCCACTAAGATGGAATTACAGAAGATATTTAAGAATTCTACATACAGACGAGGAAGATAGTCAAAACATGAGAGAAAGAGGAGGGGGGAGGGGGGAGGAAGAGGGGGGGAGAAGATAAAAAGAAGATGGAGGAGGAAGAGGAAGATGAGAAAGAGGAGAAGGAGGAGGAGGAGGAGGGGGAGGGGTGGGGAGGGGGAGGAGGAGAAGGAGGAGGAGAAGGAGGAAGAGGAGGAGGAGGAAGAGGAGGAGGAGGAAGAGGAGGAGGAGGAAGAGGAGGAGGAGGAAGAGGAGGAGGAGGAGGGGAAAGAAAGAAAATCCTATATGAACAGGTAAATAAACAAAAATTAGGAAAGAGTCAAACACACTCAATTCAACAAATTAGCAAACCCTAAAGGCCAACAAAATAAAAAAACAAGTAGTTTCAAACCAACCAGAAGAATAAACAAAACTACAGGAAATAGCAAGTATATTTCAATAATAATCCTGAATATTAATGGTCACAACTTTCTAATTAAAAGACACAGACCAGCTGATTGAATCAGAATGTAAGATCCAACTATTTGCAAGCTGCAAGAAACATTCGTAAACACACAGGAAAACTGGCTGGAGGTATTTGTAAAGGTGGGACTCGGGAAGGAGGAGAGACTAGAGGGCTGTGATCAGGATCTAAAATGAATCAATAATATAATCAATAGAAGATCAGGGAAAACTCAAACACATGATTTAATAGGTTACCTCTTAGAAAAGCAAGAATGAAAAAATAAAAGGAAAGAAAGAAAGAAAGAAAGAAAGAAAGAAAGAAAGAGAGAGAGAGAAAGAAAAGAAGAAAGGCAAGTGTTAGCCAAAACCAAAAGCAGTAGATGGAAATAAATGATAAGGTTAGGGCTGAAGTCAACAAAATGAAGATCAAAGGACAGTTAAAAATCAAAAGATTGGTTCTTTGAAAAAATGTCAAGTTAAATAAAGCCTTAGTCAAACCTACTGACAGAAAGAGAAGATTGAAATTCATAAAAGCAGAGAGGGAAAGGAAGAGATTACAACAGATTCTAATGAAATCTGATCACTAGGAAATATTTTCAAATCATACATTCCAAATGTCCGGAAAATCTAGAAGACATAGGTGAATTTTTAAACAAGTATGACCTATCAAGAGAATGCAAACATATAGGCAACTTACTTCTATCTATGACAATCAATAAAATTTAACAGTGACAAAAAAAAGCCTTCCAGCAAGGGAAGCTGAGAGCAGAGTAACTCACTGCCACATTTTACCAGACCTTTAAAGCACTGACTCCTGTATGCCTCAAATTATCCCATACAACAGAAAGAAAAGGAACCCAAGTAAGCTAGTTCTAGAAAGGCAGAATTACTCTGACAGTGTATAAGGACCCTTTAAAAAGTTTACCGAGCTACAGGCCAATTTCTCTGATAATATGATTTCAAAAATTACCAATAAAATATTTGTAAACCAAACCAATTAAGTCATTGGAAAGCTTATATAACCATAGTGAAGCTGTTTCATTCCCAGATGCAAGGGCAGTTAAGCATACACAGATCATTAAATGTCAAAGACACAGATGGACTAGAGGCAAAAATCACTTATCATCTCAATAGATGCAGAAAAGACAGAGATTAGCATACTATAACATCTCTGAAGCAACTGGGAGGAGAACAAATACACTTAAGCAAAATTATGGCTATTATGACTTAAGGAGCCTTGTGGGTCCTTGTGCTCACAGATAAGCACTAGGAGACTTGGGAATGAGTGTGGTTAATAGCCTGACCTCTGCATGCTCCCCTAGCTCCTCTTCCTCCCCCCCATACCTCCCCTGGACTCTTATATTGAGTTTGTTTATTTCAATCAATCTATAGCACTCTCCTCCTCCAGACCTTTACCGTGAACATGTTTACCCTGAGCCTGCTTTCTTAGTTAATACATAAAGCCCATCTTTATGGAAGAGGTTACTTGTAGTTTACAAAAATTTTGATGTAATCATGACTTAAGCTTTGTTGTGCACTGCGGCTTGAGTTAATTACCACCAAGAAGCTTTTTATCAAATTATGCTATGCTTAAATGTGCCTAAAATAATCGACCTGGCGTCAGACTCTTGAAGTTTTTACCAACACTGGCTCCCGGGTCATGTTGAACTGAATTTTCTTCTTATTTCCCCTGGCTCAACACTCTGCTGGCTGTAGTGTTTGCAGAGACCCCCACGATGTCAAACATACAGCCAGCATGAGACCAAATGGGAAAAACTGAATCTCCTAGAAAAGTAAAAATGAGAAAAATAGCATCTGCTCTCTCAACTCTTCTCAATGCGGTTCTTGAAGTCTTAACCAGAATAGTAATGAAAATGAAAAATGAAAGGATTTCAAATAGAAAAAAGCCCAATTATCCCTGTTTGCAGATGACATGTCCCTATACTTAAGTACCTAAATGCCTCTGCCACAAAACTCTTGGATGTAATGAAGGATTTCAGCAAAGCAGCAGGATGTAAAGTCAACAAACAAATTGCAGTAGCTCTTCTATATGTCAACAGCAAGAAGGAAATCAGAAAGTGATCTCCTCCATAACAACTTCAAAGTATATCTAGGATATGTTGTATGAAATTCTTAAGTACTAATGGCAATATACATAGAAAATATAATAATGAAAAAATAAGCTTTATGTATTAAAATTTGTAAAAACTTTTAACAACACAGTGAAGCTTTTTCTAACTTTTTGTATCCAGAAGTGTAACTGCTGGTGATGAGTGATCCTAAGTTTGCTTGCTCTTCCTCATTCTGTCTGGAGTCTTAGGGTGCTGCCAGTCTGTCTTCCCACCCTCAGAGCTCATTTGCATATAGAAAACAGTTGAAGTGACTCTCCAAGATTATCTCAGACCTTCTTGGCACTTTATGGCTATGTGTAGAGGCTAATTCTACTGTACAGCTCAGTGCTATTTAGTAGATAGTATTCTACAAAATCTATCGTGCAAAAAAATAGTATAGATCTTCCTAAAAATATATTCTGCCTCTATAGAGATGCTTGTTAAGTTTCTATGTTAACAAGCAAACTACATGATTCCAAATGTATGTTTGTAATAAATATGACTCAAGATACTGAGGGTTAACAAAAGTATTAAAGAATAATGCCTTATTCTTTAATAATCTCTTTCCATTAATAACTGAAAATTTGAATTGATTAGGGTAAGTATAACTGTCTTCTGAATCTAGACTTGTTTTTTAAACAGTCTATATCACTTGCAAATATGGAAGACTATTTTTTCCTTGCTGAATTAAATACAATTAGATAAACAGATATATTGCTCAAAATAATAAAAATAGCTAGGAATAAGTTTAGCCAAGTATGTGAGAATCCTTTAATAAAAACTTTTAAGCATCATTGAACACAATTGAAAAAGACACAAAAATATGGATAGGTCTCCTACGTTCATTGATTGGCAGAATCCATATTATAGAAATTGCCACATTACCAAAAGACTGAAGATTTAATTTGATCCTCATAAAAATTCCAAAGCTATTCTTCAGAGAACTAGAAAATGCACACTCTTAAAATTCATATGAAAACACATAAGACCACAGAGAACCAAAACAATCCAAAGCAGAAAGAGCAATGTTAGAGGTGTCACAGCAACTGATTTCAAATTATACTACAGATCCATGGTAACAAAGCCCGCATGCTGCTAACACAAACATAGAATGTAGACCAAGGAAACAGATAAGATTCAGTGATAAACCAGTCACATCCAACTGAATTTTGAGTATACATGTGTGTGTGTATGTATATGATGTATGCATGTGTATGTGTGTATGTGTGTATAATACATACACATATACATATACTGAGAAAAAAAACAGCCTTTTCAACTAATGGTGCTCGAAACCTGGTTTTGAACATGTAAAATAAAACTAGATTCCTATTGCCTATCTGGTGAAAACATTGATTCAAAATTATCAAAGACTTTAACGTAAGATTTGAAATTTTAGAATTACTAGGGGAAAACGCATCAAGACAAAGAGTCAAATGTGGATTTTTGGAAAAAGGATTCCAACAGCTCAGCAAATAGCAAGAATCGACAAATGGAACAACATGACATTAACAAGCTTCTGCACATCCAAAGGGGCTAGCAGAATGAAGAGAGCCTGTAATCGGGAGAGCACACCACAACAAATGCTGTTAGGGAATCCGAGAAAAAGGAGCCTTTCCGTTCTGTTGGGAGCAATGCAGATCATCCAGCTACCATGAAAATTATGACCAAAGTTTCTGAAATATTAAAACGATATGATCCTGTTTGCTATGGCACAGCCTACAACAGCAAAGATAGAGAATCAGCCCAAGTGTCCAGCAGTAAATAAGTGGATAAGGAAACTGCCATACTTACACAATGGAGCCTTACTCACTCAAAAAATAAAATTACATCATTTGGAACGAAAAGAGAATGAGACCACGTTAAATGAAATAAGCTAAGCTCAGAAAGCCAAGTATCTCATGTTTTCTGACATACATGGGACTTATATTGAATACACATATATACTTCATATATATGATAAGTACATACCGAAAGACTATTTACAAAGCAGAAGGATAACAAAGGGAAAGTCAGCTCATCAAAGCACATCACGTTGAATATAATTTATCACTATAAATCCCACCACTTTGTATGACGAATCTATACTGATAAAAATGGGAAAACTATGTATCTTTATAATGATTATTCAGTTGTAACAATGATTAATAATAAAGTGTAACCACTTTCAAGACCTGTAACTGAGTTAAAAAGGACCCAGTTCGGCCAATAAAGCTTTCTTCACTTGATTAATGGATATAACATCATCTTACCCAACCAGTTCCTTCAAACATTTTGAGGTCCAAAGGGTCTCCTTGAATGGTCCCATCGAGAAGGATCAGGGAGTGGCAGCTGGCCATGGCTGCACACAGTGGGCCCCAGGGTACAGGCTCACCTGAGGCAAAGCTGTGGACTGCCTGGAAACTGGTTAAAAAGATAATGTTAAATTTTTCAGTAAAGTCATTTGCATGCCCTGCCTCGTAAATCTTACCAAGGCAGCATCCTGGTTATTTGACTCTAATCTCTAAGTTCTGACCACTAACCTCTAACCTCTGACCTCCCATAGACATTCACATAGTCTATACTACTGCTTCTTAAACTCTGGGCACAGCCCATATGGGACCAACTGAACGAACATGGGACTGCAAAAATTATAGCAACAGTAAAATGTTTCTAAACGTCAACAACCACAAACTAGTTCAAAATCAAATGCAATGCTAACCCATGCTGCCGCCTATGACTTCACTGTAGCCTTGGTTCTGAATACGTAACATGCCCAGTTTGTACAGTGCACACCAGTACAGCTGGCAGAATCAAAGAATAATGCCCCAAACACATTGGCTTAGAACATAGACTACTGTTACGTTATAAACGGCAGAGTTTGTACTATACTTTGTACAAAACTTTCAGCTACAGAACATGATGGTTTGATAATAGAAAATAAAGATTTTTTAATAGTTTTCTACTGTCATATAAGGCATGGGTTTTAAATAAATTGATAATTCATTATCAATAAGTGTTTGGTCTGTATACTTATTTCCTGTACCTATGTACCTGGAGCTGCATACAGATTTTGTGGGTGAAAGGCATCACACCTGACCTAGCTTCATCTCACCATCTAGCTGCTGCATCTATCCCTTTGTGCCATGATTCAAGAGCCAGACTAAGCTTGTTGCTTTGACTCGACTTGTTCGGGAATTTTTCCACTCATGGTCCTCTGCTCACTTGGAATTTTTAATTTTCAGCTATAGCATTCTACCTGCATAGTAATGTTTACATAACCCTTCTTTGAGTTGGATATGGATTTCCCCTTTGATATAGACTACCACTGGTCAATCAAAGACCAAATTTCAGAGAGCTTGAATCTAATCACATGGACTTTTGTGGTGTTGTATGTAAATCTACAGAGCTTTCTGAACCGTCACATATGCTAAGCAAGAAGTCTCTGGAGTCATGAGGTAACTGGGGTAGTAAGAAGGTTGCTTCGTGATCCAAGCAAATAAAAGCAAGCAGAGGCTTTGAACTGATTTTCATTACTCAGTTCCTTAAAGTCTACCACTGTTTCCAGAAACTTCTTTCTAGTCCACACATCCGGCCACTGAAGCCACTTCTTTTCCTCATTGACAAGATTTACTTGGAATTATTCACCTTTGTCTCCTCCTAATTTTAACCTGAACAGTGATTATGTTTAGTTGATTCTACCCCTCAAAAGCATCAGCGTGCTTGGTGCAAGGAAGAAAGATGGGAGTGGGAAGCATGAAGACCATCTTCCTCCTTCATTGTCCTGAGTCATAGGCACCCTACTCCTCTAGACAAAGACCTAATCAGTACATCTGAACAGCCAGGATCATAAATAGAGCAAGAAATCAAGCCATTCCATCTGTGCTCAGCCTGGGTCATCTTCTGCAACACTGTGCTGTGCTCAGGCCGCTGTTAACCCCATCACTAGCTTGGTGAACCCTGCCTATTTATCTGATTCTTCAGCTGCCTCAGCCACTGTCTGGAGCCAAAGTAGGGCAATCAACGCTGAAGACTGGAGGTCATCACTATTTAGAAGGCACAAAGGCATACCTCAGCCCCACAGAAAAAAAGCTAGGACCACACTCCCTCCCCTCCCCTGCTCTACTCTAGGGTATGTATCTATATGGTTAGCTTCTTTGTTTTACCATGACAGTCTTTAGTCCAGGTCTGTAAAATTTATCCTAGATGTGCTTTAAAATCTACCTCATATGCTGTCATTTTCAGAGGGTCATCCTTTATGCGCTAAAATTCAAAATGACTTTCTATCTTCAATTATCATGTGTCATACAAATATCAAAGTTGTATGTTACATCAAGCAATTTTATTGTTCTGCCTCCATTCTGATTTTCCTGTCTTCATAGTCATAATTTCCACAGCCTGTGTTACCCGTTGAAGGTGAGTTCATTCACACATCTTCATCCCATTAGACTGGGAACTCCACAGGGAGCCAATGGAGCCCTTCTCTGGGTCTCTGAACACAACTGTCTGCCCAGCCACCCAGGAAGCCTTGTGATCTGTAATCAAGCATGGTCTTGAATCCACGCCTTGGTCCTCTGCCTTACTCATTTGGCTCATTACCCATCTCCCCCATTCTCTCCCA